ATTTTCCACTAGGTTTTTTTTTGGCTAATAAAACAAGAATATTTAATTATTTATATGCACAAATGTAACTCTACATACTCCAATATTTACATACAAATATCTTAATACATTAAAATGTAAAAAATGTTTGTGATGTTGCAAACAAAATGTTGCATTTAGAATAAATTAATTGAACAGACAGAGCTAATTGAATAAAAATATTAAAAAGGTAACTGTGATTTTTTTTTTTTCAATCTCATAAATTTACATCTCGTTTAGATCTTACAATTCAGACTTTTTTCTTCAGGATTTCAAGTTAACATCTTGAAATTCCAACGTTTGTTTCTCAAAATTGCTAATTTATATCTAACACTTCTGAGTTCAGACAGTTTAAACTCAAACAACATTTGTGCTGCTGAAGTTTAATGCAACACTAATACAACATTGCCATACTCACAAGACACTCCTAGTGTAATAATACAACCTTTAGAAAGTGTAGACAACAAAACGAGCATGTTAATGTCATCACAAATACATAGTGAATGTTCAGTATAGCTCTAGTTGTGTGTGTGTGTGTGTGTGTGCTTGTATGAGAGTTGTAGAGCATCAGACACTCCACTAATCCTGTATAAATTCTCACAATCCCTTTCAGCTGTGTCCTGCCAAGAGCCTCTTCTTCCAGTAGAACTCTGACCCCGCATTCCCACACCCAACTACACAACTAAATCTCCCTCTTTCCTCTCATTCCCCCCATTTTCTTGCCCTCTTTCATTCCCACACCCCCTCTTTTAAAGAGCTCTTTCTCTCTGTAAACCTCCTCCTGCACTGCACTTTCTCTTTTGCTTACTTTCGTCTTACTTTCCCACCATTCACTCATTTCCAACCTCTGCTCTTTCCATACCTCTCTTGTATTGTTCATATTGCTCTTTCACCCTGTTGAAAAGACCGGCTTAGGCCAGAATGAATTCCCATGCTGGTCCAGACTGGCTAGTCTGACTGCTGGTATAAACTCTGGTCCACTTTGTAGTTTATTCTGACCAAGAACCACCCATTTAGACAGGAAGAGACTGGCTTACTGACATATAAAATGCCATCCACAATTCATTTACGGTTTTATGTGCAGGTTTGTTGTCCATTCCTTCACTCAGATAAATAATAAATATTTAGGCCTAAATCTAAGATTTATGTGTTTGAATTGCATATAAAATTTCCATCCTTTTGGATTACAGTTTTAACATAAATTAATAGACTTAAAGTGATTCATATTTGCCAGCCATAGATAACTCTAGATAAATCTGCACTCAAAAAATCATAGCATAGTTTATTTGCATCTATTAGCTTTTATTTAAATATATTGCATATATTTTTAAAATTCATATTTTCAAAATGTATTCATTTACTCAAAATGTATGCAATTAATCAAACTGCTTAGAATCGGCATAAATCTATTTGTTGTGAAAGTTACATTTATTTATAGGACACATGAAATATGGCAAGCTGTATGTATGAGACTGAAAAAAAAGGATTTATTGATGATAAATACAAATCTGGTTATTTTTTTTGTTTTTAAAGAGGTCATGAATTGCCTTTTTATTATTTTGTACTGATCTCTGAGATCAACTTACAATGTTACCAAGATTTTTACCTAGAAAAACATCATAATTTAGAATGCATAAATACTCAGTACATATCAAACGATCGGTAATAATAACAGATAAAGCAATAGTGACCACGTAATAAAAACAGTTACTCACACTTGTGTGGTGCAACAGTACGATCGGATCCTATAGTCGCCACAGCATCGTCTTTTAGTTTCAATCTTTCTGAAAATCCTGCATCGAATTGTGTCTTGTTTGTAAACGAATCCTCAGTAAAATTAAGTGAACAAAGGACCGAGTTCTTACTGACACGGTCTGGATCTTCATTAAAAATAAAGTTCATTCACTGATCACTCTTTCCTAATGTTGCCATCAGAAGGAAGGCAAAGCAAGCACTGTGTTTTCCCACAACCTGGCACTGATTAGCCGCTTGTTGTCTTTGGAGCATCTTTATCGTATGGTTTCTGTGTAGACCTGTGTTTGCCTCTCATTATTTACCCTACATGTGTGAATCGGTGGGCGGGGCTAAACGGGCAGTGATGTAGAAGCAGGCCTTGATCTTCTTCTGTGGAGGCGGGGTTTAGCCACACTATTACGTCATAAAGTGGCACATTCCACAATCTGTCGTTTTGACAGATTTGCTTCAATATAAGCGGTTTTTAGACTAACGGCAAAGTTTTGAGTTCTGAAACTTACAGGATGTTTTTATCGTACAATGACCTCTAGCATGTTAAAAGATCAAGGGAATTTTGATTTCTCAGTTCATGACCCCTTTAAAACATTCACTTTAATAGTACCACTACTTTATTACATTTACATTTAGTCATTTAGCAGACACTTTTATCCAAAGCGACTTACAAATGAGGACAATGGAAGCAATCAAAATCAACAAGAGAGCAATTATAGGCAAGTGCTATAACAAGTCTCAGTTAGCTTAGCAAGGGTTTTTTATTAGTAGTTTCATTTATGTATGATGGACAAATATGCATCACATGAAGTAATGCAAGTGGATGGAAATTTTTTATGCAATTTATATACGTAAATCTTAATCTTACATATTAAATGTATTTGTTTGTTTGTATTTATTTATTTATTTTAGTGTCGATCTTGTGAGTGATTTTTAAATTCCTGTCATTATTTACCCATGTTTATTTTGTATGTTTTTTTTTTTTTTTTTACTGAAACACAAAAGGAGATGGTAGGTGACAGAACTGTTTATGAGGATCATTTTCCATACAATGAATGACAGTTAATCGAAAAGCCACAAAAATCAGAATGAAAGCTCTACAAATAAGTTGCCCCTATATGTATTATATTATAAAAAGAACTTGCACTATTCATGCACTGAAAATAGTACCCTCAGCTAAAGCTCTCAAATCATATTCTGAGATGAGATTGATTGATACATCAATGCATCCCACTAGTAAGTGATGCAATATATCAGCATCATTTCAGTTGACAAGGGCTTTCTCCAGTCCTAAACAAGAACAGGCTCAACTTATTGTCTACTAAGGCAAGATCTTTAACCATATGATTATGCATTAGTAGTACAGCAGCATTCAGTTGCAGTAGCAGTGGAAGTAATGGTGTGACACTGAATAACTCTCTTCAGATAATTGACCTCACACAACAAGAGCTGTCAAAACATTTATGACTCTCATATTGTCCTGATCTGTGTTTGTTTATAGTGCGTGTATATTAATTGTTTGTGTGAGAGAGTGTTTTGTTTTCCTGGGTGTGAAAGCAGCAACACGCTGGCCTTAGACAGCTTCACTTCTGTAAATATAACCCTCTCTCTTTTGCTCTCTCTCTCTCTCACACACACACACACACACACACACACACACACACGCACACGGTTGCTTTTCTGTCAAGGTGGGGACTCTCTCTTGCGCTCTCTCTCTCTCACACACACACACACACACACACACACACACACGGTTGCTTTTCTGTCAAGGTGGGGACTTTCCTTCAACTATTGTTAGTTGCTATATATATATATATATATATATATAGCTATAATAATGTTTCCACAATATTTTATTAGGCAGCACAACTATTTTCAACACTGATAATAACAAGAAATGTTTATTGAGCAGTAAATTCTGAAGGATCATGTGACGCTGAAGACTGGACTAATGATGCTGAAAATTCAGCTTTGCATCACAGGAAAAAATTGCATTTTAAAATATATTCAAATAGTAAACAGTTCTTTGAAATTGTAATAAGATTTCACAATATTACTGTTTTTGCTGTATTTTTGATCAAATAAATGCAGCCTTGGTGACAATTAGAGACTTAAACTTAACATTAAATAACATAACCGACTCAAATCCTTTGAACGGTAGTGTACTTTTTAGCAAAACATTTTAATATAGAAAAAAACAAACTATTTTATGCAATGTTAGTATATCCAGCACCACTACTTGCATTCATTTATAGGGATAAATTAAAATGATGCCATAATGTGATATAACAGAAATACTGGTGCCATATCTCATTAAACTATGATTTAACGAGATGTTTTACAGCTTTGGGTATTAATAAAGTATCAACCAAAGAAGCATAAATACCTTAAGTAAACCACAAGAGGAAGTTTTATTTTACATCACAAGGTCTAGTGGAAGTCTGAGCACTATTTAAAGGTCAAAACAAAGGTCTTCAGGAAGTTCACAAAAAAAGTTTTCTCATTTCCTCTTGGCTCTGTTTCATCAGCTGGAAGATGAAAGCACAAGTGCTGATGGTTGCGTTGCGGTTCAGGGTTTGGACTGGTAAGGCAAAGTTTTTCTTGATTCTCTAGAGAGATTATAACACACACTGAGTAGGACTGAACGTGTCCTACTGACAGAATAGTTCACCCATAAAAGAACAAAAATGTTGTTCCAAACCTTTATGACCTTCTTCCATGGGACACAGAAGATGCAACTGCATGTAAAGTGATTATGAAGAAGAATGTTTATTTGCGATTGCATTCAAAAAATGGTGCATGTTTGTTGTCATTGGTTTTGTAGCTGAACTCGACACGTTTCTATACACATGACGGCAAATTGAGATTTTCCATCAACAATAACCCATCAAATATCAGTATTTTCCTCACACAAAGCTACAGTAAGGCTTCTACCACAACCTAGATTTCTTATTTCTAATAAAGCATACAAGTTTTAAATCACACGGGGACAGCATTTTCATGTTGGATTAAAGAAAATATCTCTATAAGAACTGCAAACGTTTAATAGACAAAGATACAGTGGGCACGACTGTACCCCTTAATCACAGCAGAAAGCGGTGGGGGGGAAACATCTTGAAATGTCATATTCTTAGATCTAAGGGGAACGTAAGCCACTGCCACAAAACCCCTTTGAGAACTCGATTCATTCCTCTTCAAATGATTAATTTCAAAATATTCAGACCATGTTTCCCCCACACATGCAGACTGTTCCACGTGTGAATCACCCAGTGAAAATATGCCAGCACTTCACCCGTGACCCCAATTGGCAGACTTTAAAATGCAAACATCGCCATAAACATATTTACAGGGCACTTTAAATCTGACTGCAGCACATTCTCAGCAGTCCGTCTGTCTGAGTGTCTGATTCACACAGATAACAAAACACAGCTTATTCACAGCTAAACACAGTTAGGTGAAATGACTCTACACTGTAAAAAATGACCGTGAATTTAACGGTAAAAGACTCTGCTTGTGATGGGCTTTGGTTCATCATGTGACTTTCTCATCACCACCTGCATTTGGTGGTTATCAGTGTATTACAAAGGTGCAAAACAGATTTCAGTACTTCAATAGGTTGGTATATTAACATTATATCAGTTAATGAAAATACGGTATTTAACTGTAAATTTAAGTTAAAACCATAAAACCTAAAACGTTGCTACCGTATTTTTTACGGTAAAATTCCGGCAACCACAGCTGCCGGTTTTTTACCGTAAATTTTACGGAATTTTTTTTACAGCGTAGGGGAAGTGAATCACACTGCATGTTGTGTTAATCTGACACTAAACATTTCATTTTATCTGTCCCTGTAGGAAAGAAAATTCACAAATAGAATCCGACTTACAGAAGCGAACTCAGTAATAAATAAATAAAAAAGATTTTTAAAAAAAGACTAATTGTATTGATATTCATTGTAAAAAAGCTAATGTAAAAAAGCTAAATAAACCTGTTAATTGGTTAACGGTAAGTTCACTTACTATATGCAGTATAAAACTGTAATAGATCTAATGTAATTTTACATTAAAATAATGTTAAGTTTACAGTTTTTGGAAGTGAAAAAGTATAAATAATTTTCTTTTTTAATTTACAGTGAAAATCCATAAACTGTGTGCCACTTCACATTTGACGGTTTTTCATTAAAATAACTGTTTGTGCGTATGGTAAAGTGCACATTGCATATATTAAATTTTACGTCAGCCCGTGGAAAAGTTACTTGTGATGAACTTTGATTCATTGTGACTTTCTCTTTACAGCCTGTGTTTTTAAGGTGGTTGGCAGTAATGTAAAAAGGTCTCAAAAATGTTAATGAACTTGAGATTTTAAAATGAACTTTCCACCAAACTATCAACCTACGTAATCCACATTCATTTATAGTGTGTTGTTGTGATCCACAGCGCAAGTACACTTTACATTCTCAGTGTTGCCACAAGGGACGCTATAGCAGGTATTAAGGCCTTTTCACACCAAGAATGATAACTATAACAATAACTATATTAGCGTCCAGAGCAATAGATGATAAATATCTATTATAATGTTTTTAGCATTCATCAGCTGGGGGAAAACAATATTGTTTCTCTGTTTCCTTATAATTGTGGCGTGAACTTCCTAACCCTTCCTAATGATTTGAATCATACGAAAATGTTTTTTTTTTTTTTTAAGTGAGCATGAAACATCCCAAACCCCACCCGTAAACATAACCGAGCATAAGCAGATTGTACGAAAACACGCTCATGAGATTATCTGCCAAAACGTAAAACAGTTAAGAATTGCAATGAGATTGTGTTGGAACTTCCCTGTTCTTAGTGGGGCAGTGGTGGCCTAATGGTTAGAGAGTTGGATTTGTAACCCGAAGGTTACGGGTTTGAGTCTCAGTACCTGCAGGAATTGTAGGTGGGGGGAGTTAATGAACAGTGCTCTCTTCCACCTTCAATGCCCATGACTGAGTAAGGCACCGAACCCCCAACCCGCCACAGCAAAAATGGCAGCCCACTGCTCTGGGTGTGTGTTAATGGTGTGTGTGTGTGTGTGCACTTGGATGGGTGAAAGGCTAAGCCCTAACTCTTGAGTATGGGCCACCATACTTGGCTACACGTTGTGTCACTTATAGAATCAGAACTAATTTTTAAGTTCATTTCTTTATCATTATCTTCATAGTTATTGTTCTTGGTGTGAAACAGTCCTTTTACCGCCTGCTTACATGGTCTTCAACAGCTTTTCCTTTTAGCTCAACTCGTAGCAAGAATTTGAAAATAATCTAGAGAAGAGAAACTAAGCAAGTTAGTTAAGGTCAGTATGGTTACAGCAACTTCCCAGATTAATAACATCTGGTTTAATAGCACAGACAAAGGGAAACTCGATCACCCCCTCGAATACTGAGATTTGTTACCGTCAGACCAGTGCAAGAGCGCTTGTTAGCCATGTTCAAACAGACTAGGCGATGACAGTGCATATGTTTCATGAACATCGCAAAAACATCTGCCGCATACCATTCTAACATTCAACAGGGAATGTATTGCAGATGAACAAATGATCTTCCAGATGAAAAAGCACACTTGGGATGGATGCAAGCGTATGTTTTCTAGACTCCTCCAGTGGCATTAGGCCAACTCCAACCTTAACGGACCACTGAATCAGCATCTCTGTATGGAAAACCCAAAGGAAGAAAGAAAAACAATTTCCTGTTTCATCCGTCAATCAAACGCTTTACTGTGCCTAGACTCCACCGACGCAGGAATTAACGCTGTGAGCCCAGAGCTGCTAAACACCAGACCTTAGCCAAGCTCTTTAAGAGCGGGTCGACTTCCCCTGGGATGGAGCCAGATGGGAACATATGGTTAAACACACACACGCACACACACACAGTTGTAATCATATAGCTCCAAAGCATCCAGCATGACTGAGAGGAGTATTAGAAACAGCTGGAGACGCCTGGACCATGAGAAAGATTGAGAAGGAGAAAAGCTGAGAAGGTACAGAAGAATGTTCTCATGCTGGGTGGTAGAGAGACTGGGCTTCAGGTGAAGAATGTGTGTGGTTTATGTTCACTTCTGCCACATATACTACACACACAATCATCTCAGAGATTATTCACACATACAGTCATTTGCAATAAAAAGAGCCCGGTCTCATGAAAATGCATATAAATAGTACGCCAAATAAAACCGAAAACTCATGGTATTGATACACAAAAATGGACTTTGGCATGCATAAGATACGCATGTGTTTGGCATGCATATAATACGCAGTTTTCGCGTGCATATGATACGAAATTTGTTGGCGTGCATATGATACGCAGTTTTCGCGTACATATGAAACGCATCTACCCCACAACCCTAAACTTACCCATCGTGTAGCATATACACGCCAAAGTCCATTTTTGCATATCAGTACCACGAGTTTTAGTTTTTATTTGGCGTACTATTTATACGCACTTTCATGAGATCGGGTTTTTTTTTTTTTTAACATCCAGAAGTATATTCAAACTTATGGATCCATTCTTCTAACAATCAAGATATTTAAGGCTTTTTATGACCTTTTTATGACATTTGATCAAACTGAGTTTAAGACTTTTTAGGGACCCACGGGATGACTGGAGAACGGTTAACAACAGAGTTAAGAGATTCACTGCATTCTGACACACAAAAGAAGAACAGATCAGATCCAGCACAGTCTACACATACAGTCATTTGCAATAAAAAGAGCCCGGTCTCATGAAAATGCATATAAATAGTACGCCAAATAAAACCGAAAACTCATGGTATTGATACACAAAAATGGACTTTGGCATGCATAAGATACGCATGTGTTTGGCATGCATATAATACGCAGTTTTCGCGTGCATATGATACGAAATTTGTTGGCGTTCTGAACGCGTGCTGCTCTTAGCTGAGAAGAGAGATAGAGAGACAGAGAGAGAGCGAGAGAGAGAAGAGAGAGAAGAGAGAGAGAGAGAGACAGAGAGAGAGACAGAGAGAGAGAGAGAGAGAGAGAGAGAGAGGAGATCCATTAGGAAAACAGGAAATAGCTGCTCCAGTGAAAGGGGGATGTGTGAATGACAGAAGGAAGGAGTGAATGTGCACGTTCAACAGATGTTCTTTTCAGAGCATGTTCTTTTTCAGTCCAGAGGTACAGTATGTTTGATGCTCCAGCTGAGATTTCAGCAACCTCAGCAGATTCTAACGCTAGCACACATGTAGACGCACCAGACCTATCTATCTATCTATCTATCTATCTTTTCGCGTGCATATGATACGAAATTTGTTGGCGTGCATATGATACGCAGTTTTCGCGTACATATGAAACGCATCTACCCCACAACCCTAAACTTACCCATCGTGTAGCATATACACGCCAAAGTCCATTTTTGCATATCAGTACCACGAGTTTTAGTTTTTATTTGGCGTACTATTTATACGCACTTTCATGAGATCGGGTTGAATAAAAAATGCATCCGGAAGTAAAGGTATTGGAGTAAATGGGAATAAAAAATCAACAAGCACCAAATGTGAGTCAAAAATTACATTCGGTGGTTAAAAGTAAATGAAGATAATTTTCAGTTGATTTGTAAATATGTAAGGAACTGCAACATAATACATTTAAATATAAAATATAATATATATATAAAATATAATAAAATAAAAATTTGAACCCTGAGCACACCATGAGATTCTTTTCTTTCCAAACTAAAATATAATAATAATAATAATAATAAATGAATAAAATAATAAATACAAAATAAATAAATCAACTGACCCCAAAAGTTTGCACATTAGTGTTTTCCCCCCCATTTCATTTCATTTATTTTCTTTCTCTCTCTATTTTAAAGAAATTAATACTTTTATTCAACAAAGATAAATTAAATTGAACAAAAGTCACAGTTTGCTGCATTATCACAAAACTTCTGCTGATTCAGCTTTGCGATCACAGGAATCAATTACATTTTAAAATATATTCAAATTGAAAACTTTCATTTTAAATTCTAATAATATTTTGCAATATTACAGTTTTTACTGTATGTAAGCTGTATTTTGAATGTATTGTATTTGAGCAAATAATAAAAAAAAGGCTTATTTTACAAACATTAAAAAAAATCTTACTGACCCCAAACTTGTGAACAGTATAATGCAGGCAAAACTAGTTCATGTTAATGTGATTTATCATTCATAAAACATTATATTAATTAAAGAATAGCAGGTTACAGCCACATTTGCATAACCCATAATTATCATTTGTGTTAATGGTTAATCTTATCATTTGTTATCATATGTGTTGGCGAACAGTGATTGTGAAAGCAGGAATAGGACATAATGTCTTTGGCTGTGTTGATCTTCAGTGGGAGAGAGGAAAGGAAATCATCAGAGAGAAAACTCACGCCTGTCAGAAAGCTTTTTGAATGCAAATGTGAGTAGAAAGTTTTTGGCAGTGAAGTTTTCTTGCAAGTAAAGGCTAATGTTTATGCATTTGCTCAGCGTGAAGTCTTGGTTTAGAGAAATCTCTACAGTGGATTACAAACTGTTTCTGAAGAATGAGAGACTGTTTAGAGCCATTGGATTGTCAGGAGA